ATAGCAGTTTGATTTTTCATCGAACATAATTGCAATCAACTCCATGATATTTGGAAAGAGCAAATATTTTGAAAGCAAGTGTAATCAAGTTTCGAGATTTCTGATAAAGTTCAATCAAGCTATGACGAAAAGAAGCAGTAGACCAAAGAAGAAGCGTCGCTATTATCTAGGTCACTCTGTTCAGTGGTCCGAAAGCAAATCTACAGTACTCGTTTCCGAATTTTGTTGTTCATTGTACAATCTTTTATTGATTAAAAACTCGGTATACAGACTATTAAAGCAATGACAAAGAAGAATACTTCCGATGTTGTCATTGTTTTATTTAGCGTGCGGGTGTAAAAACAATAATTAGTAATTAGTTTGATTTAGAACCTTCGGGTCACGCAAATAGCTACACGAAATGCATAGTGAGAAAATATAAACCAATCAAATTTTGTCCTTTTTGAGTGCTTTTTCAGTATATATTTCACGGTGTATAACCCAAACGCTCCTACATGCACGACGGAGCGTTTCATTACTGAAATTAAACAAAGAAACGCTCCGGAGTAGGAAAACTGTCTGGCGGGAATGATGAGCCGTCTGACAATTTCCCAAATAATGGGAATCAGAGGTATGAGTTACATATTTCGAGTATACCATTCGATGGGTGTGATATTCATGTTATACGTGGCTGGCTGTTGACGTTTGAAGCAATTAGGAAGAGCTGTACGAAGCAGTATAGTTATCAAAATTCAAAAACGTATTTGTCATTCTACCGGTCAAAACCCCTTTTGTCGATACATGTGATTAGTTGAGCCAAGATTAGAGCACCAACGTATATTTTAGTCAAATTCCAATGCTTCAACGCACCATACATTATCGTAATAGTGATTTGATGACCGAAAATCCAGTCTTAAAAATGATGACATTCTCATATTCAAGAAACGCTCCGATCTGGTTAACACAGTGAATTGGAAACGCTCCGGTAGTCTAGATCTGTTAAGGAAATATATAGCTTGCCTTTTCTTTTCAGGAAGAGAAAGAAAAGATCTATTATACCCCTTGGCATCAATAGAAGAAAGATTAATTCACATATAACTTTTCGTTTTTTTCTATAGTTTTATGATTTAGCACATATGTAGGCATGACATCATCTAGTGTATAGGCTTTAATCAGCTAGTTGCACGTTTAGCACCACCAGGTTCAGATGTTTCAATTTGCCTAACAAGTACAACACGTTTTTGAGAGATAGATTCGATTCGGAACTCTTCTCTAATAATCTGAAAATGATATCAAAACAAAAAGGTAAGAGCGTTTCTAAAATTGTGGTCTAAATCGACGGAGCGTTTCGAGGAAAGCAAGCGATTTCTCGAGAACAAGTAATGGATTTGGACTGGGATTTTAGGAAATGAGAATATACGAGTTTGTGATCTACTACTTAAACAGAAAGATTAACGTTTTCATAGAAATACTAGTTTAATTCGTAATTTGTGGTCAAATCGTCATCTTCAGATTCGTTCGATCTACACTACGGAGCTTTGATCAAGCAAATAACAGTTTACCACCAGAAGTTGAATAAATAAGATCTTTGCTCACGGTATTGTTCATCGAATGGTACATAATATTTCACCATGACATATGATATGTAAGAGAAACGAGAGAAACAATACTTACGGTCATAGTAGAAACTTCATTAGCCGCCATTTTATTTCGCTCCGGAGCGTTTCCGCGTAAATGTAACGCTCCGTCGTGCATGTAGGAGCGTTTGGGTTATACACTGTGTATTTGCGAACGTTCTGATTCAAAGAGCGAATCGCGAAAGGGAGAATTAACTTCATTTCCCCATTGCATTGTATCCCCAGAAAATAAAACAGGTGGAGGCATTATACTGTTTTTAATTTCAAATTGATATCATATTGCGCCTTTAATGTAGGCCGAGACCATCGTAACTAATTATCCTCAATTTTCTTATTCTTATTATTTAAAATGCAACTGTATTCTAAGATCCATTCCTGCACTTTATTGTGTTCAGTACTATGCAAAGGCGTAACCATGGGGAGGGGTGCGACCCCGATAACCAATGAAAATAGAACCATTGGATAGAAGAAGAAAATAGCTTTAAAATGCTCTTTATTGAAAGCGTCTAGCTCAATTTTGAAGGCAGTTGCATCAATTTTTGTAAAACTCAAAACTAATCTTCGAAAAATTTGTTTTTGCCTTGCTTATGCCAAGATCGCCCCCCCCCCCCCCCCCCCTGGGTAACCTGACTGACTGAAGGCTGCCTACGCCCCTCCAGTGTATTAAAATAACTCACGACTTTTTGCTGGCGGGAAGAGCGTCTGAGGATCAATATGATGCAAGCTTTTCCTATTTTTAATTTGAAAATTGAGAAATTGAATCATTATCTGGTCAGAGAGTGGAATGCATCGTACATGTACATGTACAATGTCCAGTTGGAACTGATAATTTAAATTTTCCCTGATCAATTTGAAGCAAGTTAAAAAAGTTTGATCTCCTTCTGAGAACTTGTAGATTTTTTGGTCAATTTGAAGAAACTTTGGGAGCGGTTGCCCCCCCCCCCGGCCTATATTCCTTTCGAATCATGCATTTTTCACCATTCTGATTACTTTTCGCATGATTGTTTTGCCAAAAACTGTCAAAAGTTACTCCCCTTGGTAATAGCCCTCCACCCTCCTAAATGCATATTTGCAGCCGATGAAGAAAAAATATTATATTTGTTTATCAAACAATTTTTAGAAATCAAAATATCCTGTTTGTGCCGGAAAGAGATCGCCGTGCTCCAGACAATTAATTAGTATTTGTTTTGTATAGTTACTGATCAAAGATGTCAAATTGTGGGAATCATGAATAATGACCGTTCAGACCAGCTTTTAAAATACCAACCACCGAACTCCGAACACAAACAATCGAGCACCGTCCACAAAAAGTCGGAGACTATATATATATAATTCTAGTGGTGGCATAATAACACTTTCATCCTCCCATGGGTATACGAGGAGTCTTATATCCAATATCCAGTCTCATAATAATCAGAGGCATATTGATAATTTTTCATTTGACTTAATACGCCTCTGTTATAATCATGGACGTCTATCCCGGTCAGATTATTCCTGGTCAATCATCATGCTACATGCAGGTATATAAGCCATGCACACAGGTATGAAAAAATAACTGTCACAAGAAATGAAAACAAGAATTTTGGAAAGCAACTATAGGTCAAATATCAAAAATATATTTTAACAACAAAGCAACACAATAAACCGTTGAAAACGTCATTGATTAAAGAAGCACAGAAAGTAATTAGCTTAACTAAATATCTATAATCGTGCTTTAATAATCTATATGTATTTTTGCAAGAGTTTGTCCCCGTCTGCTAAGGTGATAATAGGGTTAAGACACACGTTTCTTAAAAAAGAACGTGGTTCTTTAGATAACTATTTCTCCCATTTGAACTGTTTACTTGGTCGATTGAGTATAAAGACATACGGAAAACAATCCCAGGTGAATATGAGAGTGGAACAGTATCCCCCGGGAACGAAATAGTACACGCTCGGGTACAAGTTCTTTTAAAAACGTGTAACTTAACCTTCTTATAAAACCAAGCAAAGGAAATGTAAAGCTAGCTTAACATCGTGAAATGAACAGCCTTTACTATTTTGGGAATATGAAGACTCTCTCTTTCAAGCAATCTAGTGCATGGCTCTGATAAATCAGAATGCTAGCTCTAATAAATTAAAAATGTATAAACTTAAATAAAGTACGCAAAATGCCTATCTAAAAAATAATTATTCGAAATGAATGTAGAGCTCGTCATCAAAATTGTCATCATCACCGTCAACGGACCTGCGCCAACTATTTATGAATACCTGGAAGATTCATTAAACCCTTAATTATTAACTTTTAAGTGTTAACAATAAAACAAGAAACTGCATGCATAAGATGAAGTATAAACACCCGGGTATAAACGCATTGTTGGGCGTCGAGGTAGCATTCGCCAATT